TAGAACATCCTATATTTTGGATCCTTTTTCTCCCCTCCTACATTTAGCAGTTTATAATTCACATTGTCAAGACTTTTTGTGCAGTGATTAACATAAAGCACAAGAAAAGGTAAGGGAAAATACACAAGAACCTCCAGATATAAGAGCTGTGACTTTCAAATAACCACATTAAAAAATTCTGAAGAAAACATGAGTATAAATAACAGTAAGACAGGAAGAGCATTTTTTTCTCAAAGTTATTTCTCTTGACTTCCCTTGGTAGAGATGGAGTTGTGGTGCTTACTGCTGATAAATAGTTCTAGATCTTTTTGAAACTGCATATGCCAGGTTTACGTGAAGTCAAAATTTGAATCTACTAGCGATGTAATAGGGATCCAATAAACTTCAGGACTGAATTTTTCCTTTCCAGAAGGAGCTAATTTTAAAACTGCTAAACATTACTGCCTAAATTTATTTCCTGCTTTCCACAAAAATAAATCATTCTCTATGTGTAAACACTAGACTTAGTGATGAAATGTGCTAGTCAGACAGAACATGGGGAATTACAATGGCTGCAAATTTCAGTGTGAGGTTAAATGTTGAGTCACTGGCAATGCCTTCAGAATATGTTGCAGTATCTTACTACTGTTGTTATATTATGGGGTCCCATAGCAATATGTGGACTGAATTGAGACTGCATATGCACCAACAGCCATACAGATGGGGAAGGATGACTGGTGATGATCACGTCAAAACAGGTGTCCAAGAAATTGCATCCTGTATTTCACACATTTCTGGCACTAACTCTATAACAAATGTGAATGCAGTATTGTTTCCCTGTACAATATCTCAGTGTGAAGGTTTTTCTTAGGTTGGTTACGCTATACAGAACTTGTAGGCTCACATATGCTGACTGAGCTGCCAGACAGTGATGTGTGCTCATTCTCTGCATGCCAGGATGGAGAGCTTGCTTCTGCCTGCATGGGGTTACCATGAATATATCAGCAATCATTGATGGTTTGACCTTTTCTGCATTTTTCTGCTGCGATGCATTCTCAGAAGGAGCAGAAACTTTAGTTCCCTCTGGATTATTTACAGTGTTGCTCTCCATGAGGATAAGCAAAGATAGGTGAAGTCATGTGTTTATTCTCTCATTCTGAGAATACAATGAATCTCGGGAATTGCTTCACAGATATTTGGCATAATGAGACTTCCTCTTGTCCTCTAGGAATCAGAGCTTTTTACCTTCCTTCCCATTCAGGAGTCCTTGGGCCTCCTAAGGTGAAAAGATACCTCAGACGATGTTGCCATAAGCGAGCCCACCTTGTGAGATCCTGGTACCTCAAATTTGGCTACTAGTAAGAACAGTGGGGTGTCAAGGGAAGGAGAGGAAAGTAGTGAGGAAGATCTGTGTTCTGAGGCCATTGGGTGCACATTCTCACAGTCAGTACTGATCTGTTGTGTCTCTGGATGGATTGCAGAAAGCTGAAACAGAAGAGGCTGCAGGAGCTGTGGAGCCAGGACAGTGACCTGCTGTGGGTGCTGTACTGCTTTGGCTCAGTTTTCAGTGTGGCATCTAGAAGTAGTCTGTTCAAGGGAATATGAGGAGAGGATGTGTTTTCACTGTAAGTGTCTTTTCCAACCTTACCTTCTTTCTTTGTGTCCACTGGAGTGGAGCTGCTAATGTCTGCAATTTCCTCAGAAGAGACAATCTCCTTGGTAGTGTCTCCTCAGTCTCATCAGTTCATTTCATTTAAGGATGTGAGCCTAAGGGATTCTGTCCACACTACATATACAGGATGAACTGCATTTTCCTCACACATCTAATTAAGAATGTGAAACAAAAGACAATGTATGGACCTCTCCTTTAGACTGTAGCTTTCTTGATTTACTACTTGCCATGACATCTGCTAAAGGTAACAGGTATCAGATGAAGGAAACTGGGGCAACCATTTTTGCAATAGCTCAGTATGTCCCTAAAATAGGTCTGGGATTGAGACACAAATAAAGCCTGTGCTAAAATGCTAGAAATTTGAAACAGGATTGTTCCTGGGTGTAGTTCTTAATGTGGGGTCAGAAAAACAGTCATTATTTTGCACATCTGTTGTTAAAAGGGAGGAAGCTTTTAAACAGTAAGAAAGGACAGGTAAGGTCAAGGTTCTATAAGAAATTAAAATAAAGCTTCAGCTGGGATGGAATATAGCACCGATTAGGAGATATTAGGACCAACTCTTGGGAAAAGCTTGTGAAAGTCGTTGCTTACAATAAATGAGCTTCAATATCTCATCCAAAGGGCGATGTGCCACATCTAGATGATCTAAAGAGATGCAGAGGAAACTGTGATAAGGCATAAGCTGCACCCCTGTCTTGTTTACTTCATATGTAATGAAGATAAAACTAAATGTAATGTTTATACATATATTTATATGTGATTGGACACTAGTACAGAATCTGAACTTGCTTTTACCCAGTCTGTCATCAGCTCAACTGTTCATCCAGCAACAGATCTTGACTTTACCAGGAAAACAAAGCAATGGGAAAGAAGATAATCTATTGTCCCTGGCATTGAATCTTTAACCAAGTAGTTGCTATAGCAATAACATTTCTCAAAATATTACATTCAAAGTAACAGCTCCTGAGAGCTACCTCAGCTCTTGTGAGACATCACACTCCATTTAAAGAACCTAGGAGTCTGTAATCCTGTCATGAAAATACTCAAACTTAATTTTAAAAACAGAACAAAAAGAGATTGACCTATTTTCCCACTTTTTTCTTTTCAGGTGTTTCACACCTCCCACTCTTTTAGCATTCTGCCCTCTGATGAAGAAGGAAAACCCCAGCAACTGGCAGCACTGCCCTGTGCATACAGCAGCTGCCCCTGGCTCTGCTGAGCTCAGAGCCATGCATGCTTCGCTTTCCTTCCTTGTGGCCTTGTTCTACACAAGCAGATGTGCTACTGTGGTCATGCTGGTCCCAGGCGCCCTAATACTCCCACCCATGTTATCTCTGTATGCTGTGTGGAGGCGGGGAGCAAATGATCAGTTTGTTCCTTTACCACCTTAGAAAATAGAGAACTAGACCAATGAAACTTATAAGTAATATGGAAAGTAGCACATGGCTAAACTATGTCCCAATGCTCCCTTCTTTACTGGCATTAAATTAAGAGTGACGTCGCTGAAGATTGTCACTAGACTAATCAGAATTATTTCAGTAGTGTAATTCTCTGTGAATGGAAACAGGAAGTGGAATATATTAATCTTATAACTCAAATTCACACTTTCTTTAATCTTTCTCAGTGGCTCTGAAGTTAAATGTCTTAGAGACTAAAAAAAAAAAAAAAGCTAGGCAAGAGTTTCTGTCAGCCTACAACCACATGATTCAGGACTGACCCCACTGACATTAACAAGGCAAAGCTGATGCGTAGCTACGTCAGAAAAGAATAATGATCTGAAACATGAATGCGGTGATGCAGGTTGTGGCTGAGATTCTAGGAAAAACAGATTAAATGAAGTCTGAAATTCCAGCTAGGTCACCGCAATTCACTGAAAAGCTCCCAACTTACAAATCTGAGCTATGTCTTTGTTGGACTTTTGGCAGATGGATTCTGCTTTAAGTGAATTATTGACATATAAATTCACCTCTGCTGTTACTGTGCTGGCAACAATATCATTTGGCACTGACATAACTTACCCTTTGGATATTAACTAAATTACCATCAGAGCCCTTTTAATTATTCATATTCTTATTGTATAGATTGGGAAGTGAGATAGGAACTACAGTGTCTCACTGAAGCCATACATTAATGCTTTTAGGCATTATCTGTGAAGAAAATGGGATTTGAATGCATGCGTTTCTTCTTGCCATTAAACAGCCATTTTGATTTTATAAACTCTTTTCTGTAATGAATGTCCTTGCTTGGGGAAGAGCTCCTGTGAATTTGCACTTGGTTTTTGCCTGCAGAGCCATCAGGAATTCTAATAACAATAATACACAGAATGGATTGAAGCCTGGATGAAGACATTTAATTTTCACTATACCATTTTTGAATAGTGAAAAGTATCTCTCCTGTACACTGCAATTTTAAAAAGAACATAGGTATTCACTTTCATACACTACATTTGGTCCAGCTGGGACAAACAAACTTGGAGAGAGAATGAAAAAATGTGTAAATTTTTAGCTATGTAAGAATAATGAGGTAAATAATACACAAATGATCTCTACATCTAAAATGTTCCTAATTTCTCCAGAGGGTTTTGATTTGAATACATAGCCTGAGCATTTCAGAACAATCTAAGAGATTAGGTATCTACATTTTATCATAACAGATAGGATCTTGAATTTATCTGAGCTTTTTCAGGAAGCTCAGCCTCTAGGCCAGACATTGTCGTTGATTTCCTTTATCTTGAAGTGGATCTTCAGCAATGCAGGGAGGTACTACAGGAAATGATGGTATGAAAAACATCCACACATACCAATGTAAATTGGTCCAAGCTATGGCTCTCGTGAGCAGTGGTGGGATACTAAGAAGTATAAAATCTCAAGGCCTAATTTTCTGGAAATTAAGCTCTTTGCACAGGGTCAGGCCCTTAAGTTTACCACCGGTCTGAGGTCTCTCCCGCCTCCTTGGGGTTTGCCTGCCTGTGCAGAGACCAGTGCTGACACAATGTGGCTGTGCATGGCCTTGTACCTTGCTGATCCTGACATCACCTTCCTGGCTTGACCTCAGACCTGCCTCATCAGCACAGATTTGTCCAGTGATCACAAAGCTGTTGGCCAGTGCTGGTTACCATCACTGGACCTGCTCTGTGCACCGCACTGGAGAGCTGTGGGGCTGCGTGGCTTCTCAGTGAGTGTGTTGCCCAGCCTGCCTGGCTGTCACCCTCAGCTCCTGGCTCTCCACCCCTTGCAGAGCAGCCAGCTCTCACGACTCCCTGACGTGCAAGTTAAATTTGACTCAGTTTTGTTGCTTAGTTTTAGTTTTCATCATTCTTTATTTGAAATAAATTAAAAGCCCCAACAGAATTACCTTTGTAGCCTTTCTGGCATGTGAAAGGTCTAGAAATAAACCAGAGAGTTCTTTTTTCCATGAAGCTCAGTTCTGCTTTTATTCCAGTGTTGTGAAATTTCACATTCTGTTGCACAGGAACAAATCTGTGGTGAAATAACTTGCACTGCTGCTTGCATACTTCTTCCTTTGTAATATGTAACAAAGTATTACATAAAAAAATTCCACATGAAAACAAAACAAAATCCAGCAAATGGAAACCAAGAAGGGAACATACTTTTTTAGAAAGGAAGGCAACAGCCAAAGTAGTGACATACACGGTTCATAGGATCACAGGACAATTCTGGTTGGAAGGGACCTCAGGAAGACTCTAGTCCAACTTTGCTCAAAGCAAGGTCAGCTCTGAGGCCAGGCTGTTTGGGGCTTTGTCCAGTTCGGTCTTGAAAACCTGTCAGGATGGAGCATGCAGAACATCTTAGTGCAATGTGCACCGTTGGTTGGCAGTCCCTTCAGTTCAAAAGTTCTTCCTTATATTAACTCTGATCCTTCTTGCTTGAAATTATGCGCATGATTTCTTGTCCTCTTGCTGTGCACTTTTGTGAATAACTTGGCTCCATTATCATCATACCTCCTTGCAGGTATTGCAAGGCTGCCATTAGGTTCCCAAAGTCTTCTCCAGGCTGAACAAGCCCAGCCTCCTCAGTCTTTCAAGTTCCCCTCTCAGAATGTGAAATTAATTGGAAGCATAAATAGACACAAACAGAAACCCATGAAAACAATGAAAGTCGCTCCTTGTAATGGAGGAAATTGTAATTTACACACAGAGGGATACTCATAAGAATTCCCATATTTTTTTGACCACTGTACGCTCATCCTCCAAGTATAATGTCAGACCTACAAGTGTGCTGAAAAAGTGCTGGTCAGAATCTTTCCACTACACAGACTTGCTAGAGGGAGATTTTATTGATGGAAAGTAAGTTTTTTTCCCTATGAAACTGGACAACCACCATAACCAAACATTCTTCCTGGTAACTGAACAAAAGTGAAAAGATTGTGAGATGGAAAAAAATTATTTTCCATAGCACTTTATTCAGAGGGTCGAGTGCCCACTGCTACCAGGAACTATGCAGCCATTGCAGGGGCTTGCGTAGGAACAGGTCCTTGAATTAACAGTGGTACTTTTGATTTGTGCTAACTTCAACCCTTTCAAAATATGGGTTCTTTTGCTGCCATTCTTATTGTTTGGTTTTTGCTGATTTGTCAGTATTGCTTGCTGGTTTGTTGTTTGATTTTTTTTTAAGCTGGCAGACTGAGAGCCCTGGAACCTCTAGCTGAGGCCTCCGGGTGCACTTAAGTAAATGGATAAAAACCTTCTTGCCCTATTGACTCTGCAAATGTAACCACACTCCACACTTCAGTCATAAGAAGCAAGGCTAAAGGCTGGTCCTTTACGTTGTGATGTAAAACCTTACCTTTCAATCCTCTCTTTCCTCCCTGCATATATAGGAAAGATTTCACCTGAGTTAAACCACTGGCGGCTAGAATTTGGTTCTTTATAGGGACTTGAAGTAATGAATCTTCAACTATCTGAAACCCAATATTGAAATTGTAATGACATATGGTTTTATATTAGAACATATATTTTCCAAAGAAAACAAAAGCTGAAAAGCTTAAGAGCAGGTAAGTACCCCACTACATGAGGAAAACAATTTTAAGAATTGGCTAATCTCAGGGGTATGCTGAAGGGGAACTTGAGTCATTACTGAAACACAGGAACCATCATAGCAGCATAAATTACACCATGAAATTAGAGGGATTTTCCAACCTCCATCTGCTCCTTTGTCAATCATTTGAATGATCTCCATGTGTGTGCGTACTTTATTCACTTTTATCACAGTACTGATTTAAAAAAATATCCCTTTTGGGGCTCCTTCCCAGCTCAGCTTTAAGTTTCTACTAAAACTGAAAACAAATGACTAGGTTAAGAAAGACTTCAGCCTTCTTCCTGCTAAGTACATGTATGCCCAGCACGTGGGCTAGCTAGCAAGCTGTGACAGGAGGCAGTTCTATGGGGGATCCTCAGTAATTTTGTCAGTCTGTCATGGTTATCTTTCTTGACTGCATGTTGTTTGCTGACATTGATTTATGTACCATGCCTGATTTAAAGATACATGTTGAAGCTTCACTGATTTCATTGACCCTGTAATAAATTATTAGCTCCATCTACTAGTTTCACTTTAGATTAGGGGTGACTTTTGGGGTATTTCCTAGGTACAGACTGGGGAAGAATTTTTCTTTCTTTCCCCTTTAGGTTATCCGATTTTGCTTGGAACGTTTTTGCTTAGGCATTTTGACAGCCTCTGTTTCACAGGAACTTCTGTAGGTGATCAGCACGCTGCTCTTTGTAGCAGAACTGCACAGAGCATGGTCTTTTCCTTGGTCTCCCTCACACTTTCGTAGGCACAAGCAACACCTGAGTAAATTCAGTATGTCTGTTCGTGCAGTTTCACTCACAAAGCAGTAAAGAATGGGATCAGCAATGCAATTCAGACTTGTGAAGGCCTGTGTGATTCTGTAAACCTTATACATCAATGGCAAAAGCTGTGGGTCAGTGGTGTAAGGTTCTTTGATGCTGCGAATAAGCAAAGTAACGTGATAAGGAGTGAAGCAAACGATGAAAGTAACTGTAATATTCAGAATAAGTTTCCTCACTTTTTTCTTTTCTTCATCTACTGTGGCTTGATTACACCTCACTACTTGGTAGATTTTATGGTAGCAAAACACAATGATTATCAAAGGGACTAGGTACCCTGAGCATATCCGGAATAAATTTATCCATGCCTGCCACCATTCCAGGGGGTATTTATCATAGCATAATGTATGATTAGTGAAATTGCAAGGATCATTGAATACTTCTTTGTTCACCAGTATGACTGAATTCAAGATGCTTTCCAGAATCCAAACAATTATGCTGACAATCAGTGAAAATCTTCTTGTGCGCAAGTGCTGGAGCTTCAAGGGGTGAACTAATGCCAGGTACCTGTCAACGGAGATGCAAGCAAGGAATGCAGTGCTGCTGTAGAAATTCATATACATAAGGAAGGCAGAAATCTGACAAAGCAAGGCAGAGAGCCTCCAGTTATCTCCATTCCAGGCATAATCAATCCAAAGCGGCAGAATCAGAGAGTACAAAAGGTCAGCCAGGGATAGGCTGAAGATGTAGACTGCTAGCTCATTCTTTTTCCTCACCTGAATGCAAGATGCATAGAGGGATATGCAGTTGATGGGAATACTGATTATCATCACAATGCTGTACACAAATGGAAACAAATACTTATCCAAGGTGTGATCATCATGGCATTTAGCGGTGTTGTTCATTGTCCACTCTAAGTAGTATTTTTGGGCTAATTCCAACCTGAATGCAATAAAACCCCCTCTGTAGTTGGATGGGTGGTCATCTGTTAGTTCTTCAGGACCTGGTTGGTAAGATTCCAGCCTTCTGTTACCAAAAAGGAAACATGTCAGCTATAACAACATTATCTCTTTTTTTTTTTTTTTTTTTTTTTTTTTTTTAATGGGCTTCTTGGTGGGGGTAGGGTCTTGATATCCCAGGTCTCTCTTGTGGGAGAGTCAAAGGAGATCAGAAAGTGCACCACAAATAACAGAAGTGCACTTTCTGTTATTCTGGTGAGTAGAATAGAATTTGGCCATACGAATATGGCAGATTTCTTATCCTCAGTAACCTCCTCCTCTCTAAGACAATGGGGAGACAAGGATAGAAAGACAGGGATTCAGGTACTGCTTGGTGTTGGAATCTGCTCAGAAGAGAACGTGTGGCTGGTATGTCTCCCTGTTGTGAATCACTTGTCACACTCTTGCACCTCCCTGCTTCCCCTCCCCTCCCCTCCTTTATATGTGATCCCCCAAGAACTTGCCATCAGCTGTGCTACTCCAGCAAAGCTTACTGCATGTCCCAGGAATCCTCACATGAAACTTGGCAGGCTGTTGGGTTCCTGCATGCACAGGAGAATCTGTCAGTGTCACTTAGACTCATGTGAGGTGGAGACAGTACAATTTTTCACTTACACTTCCTTCATCTAGGAATTGAAGTTGAGTGCATGGGTTTATAAAGCCATTAGCAATTAAGCTTATCTTGGGCACTACCAGGGTTGTGGGTGTCAACAGCTTTAACAGGAAAATACCAGTAAAATGGCAGCCCTGACTGAAGCAGTGGAACTGGAGGAGTTGTGTGTGTGAGCCTTAGAAGCACTTAGAAGACCTGACCTTTAAGTAGGAAAGAGTGTACAACCATAGTGATGAGACAGCTGGAACTCACTGATTATATCACAGCTCTGACACTCAGTAGTTCTTTTCCTCAAAGATTTAATTGTTAAGTTCAGGAAATATGAGAATGGGCAATATTTTTTGCGGTCCAGTTCTACTGCCAAATATACTAACTACTTCAGAGACTGCCTGTGATAACTCATCTGTGGTTTGAGCCTAGACTGCCAGCAGACGAGGTGAAGAGATTGTAGAACAAATAGGTTGCAAGATAGCACTGTCTACAACTGTTCCCACATAGCAAACAACTCAAAGTGAGGGAGGACAACTTGGGTGCAGAGATCCTCCCATGTGGTAGGCAAATTCAGTCTGCCTTTTATGAGTTTGATGCCTGTGTGTGTGTAGGTTTGTGGGTTTATCAGAGAAACTCAAGTACCTTTATTGTCTCTGGTGAAAGGTTATTATATGGATCTCTTTTCTATAAAGAACCCCAACTTCCATGCATATTCAGGAAAAAACAGAGCAATGACGATACTAGTCAGAAAGCACATATTTAATTTTACCAGCCACTGCTTTATTTGATTGAGTTGGCTAAGTTTTCACAGTTAGAGCTAAATTCATTCACAGGTTTGAAAGACAAGGAAAATTCTTGAGAAGGACTTGCCAGTTTGGTCCACTGAGCAGCTTTACTTACATATGATGACTAATTAAAAAAATGCAGTGTCTGTATTTAAAACAAACATAAGATATCTGCTTTTCAGTGTGGTTTAATAAAACCACACAGTAAATAGGGCATTTTAAGCTTACCAATATAGGTAAGTATCATGAATTAAAAAACTAGCTCTAGCAATTGGATCCCAGGGTTTTGATGACCCACTGTTCACCAAAAGCAAAGCAAACATATGCAGACTGACCAGACGAGTAAAAGATAAAATACCTACCTCTTCTTCTAATCATATTTTAGCATCTCTTTTCCTATGACAGGTCTCTTCATGTCTAACAAGGAAAACATGCCCTTTCAGAGGCATGTGTGTAATGTAGCGAGTGTATGAGGCAGTGTTTACTAGTCACATGACTGAGAAACTGGAATTCCTTCTCCCTCCCCCACAAACTCTTTCTCCATTGTTAGTGGACTTGTTATATTACAGACTCATCATCCTTACAAGCTCCTGACTTGTCTCCATATTACTCTCAACAGCTCTTCTCACAATCAACTTTATCAGCTCTTTCATATTTACTCACAGACCAACATGCCAATTTCTTCATACCACCCAGCTTTTTTACTTCAGTTTTCTCTTTGCTCTGTTGATCTCACTGATCATAAAGTAAAACACTTGTCTTTATATTGTACTTGTCTGAATAAATCACATGTTCTTTGGAGAAGACCTTGCTTTGCTCTTCTGCCATCTGCCTTAAGGAGCTAATGTCTTTAAGATATAATTGACTAATGGCAGGTTGGGACACGGAATGGGGGATTCAAAGAAGAGAGTTGAATCCACATGAAATTTGCTCCCTGGGCAATTTTTTTCTGTCCTTCATGTTCACTGTACCCCATGGTTTTATTTTATTTTTAACCAGTATCATCAATAGTTTCTATGAACAAAGCCCTGGAGGCTGTCTAAAATTCCCAAGGTAATCCATGTCTCAGCTTTGATGACACATTGATGCTACTTATACAAGGACACGCTTTCAATAAGAATAAAAACAAGCAGTGTGTCATTCTGACATGTACTGATGACCTGTACTGAAGTGTGTCAAAGAGCCAGCAAATTAAGTATACCATAATGCATGCTGCAGTTTCTTGCACAGAAACATAAAAGCTGAAAGCACTGTTCTGCCCTGATTCCAACACACTTCATTACAGTTACTTGGGGCCGTATCTCAGGGGAAATGGTCACTATCATAATTCATTTTTTTTTCTTTTTTTCTGATAATTCAGCTTTTTTTTCTGATAATTCAGACTATGTAATGCAAAATGATTTATCTTACCTGAATGCATGATCTGAAGCATCCCCAGGTTGTCTCTCAGCTACTGACCATATCTGCTGGTTTTGCCCAGGAGGATGGTATTGACTTACAGCTATCCTAAAACACAGTGTTTAATAATTTTTCCCACTGATTGTTATTTTTTTCTAAAAAACTATCAAGGAATTTCTGTTTAACAGTATAGTATAATGTTTTGACTTTCATGGTCCAAACCCATTGTGACTAATTCTGTAGACATGTGACTTATTTTATAGACTTGTTTTGGTATCAGATGCATCTCAAATGAAAAAAAAAAACCTCAAAGGTAATTTTTTCTTTTAGTCACATTATTCAATGATTATTATTGTCCCTGTCTGTCATTTTGCTACAGAAAACCTACCGTACAAGAACTCTGAAAAAAGTCAGACATAAAATTTAGAGAAATGGACTAGCAAATGCTATGCTTCAAGTAATGTATGCACACAAGCCTGTAAAGGAACCTAGTGAAAGTTTCTGGGGAAAATTAATCATATATTGTATTTATATTGACATATTCCTACAGTAGCCTTTTCAGATTCCGGGAGCTTTATGTGGTCTCTCCATTTATGACATTTTGAAAGTAACAAAGACAGTATAAATTTATACTTTCACAAGCTGAAGTACAAACTGATATTCCATACTCTTATCCATAAACAACTTTCTAAGGGAAGAATGGAAGAGTCTCTTTTATTTTTTAGATAAACTAATTCTACCATAGTTTGGGAAATTAGGAAAGATGAAGAGTGTAAGGATTTGGTATTATTAACAAAAAAGTTGAGTCACTAATTAAAAAAAAAATCTTCTATTAGTAATAAACACCAGTATAAGTTTGGAAACATCTGCAACTGACACACTTCACCCTTTATTTTAAATTAAAGTTCATGAAAGGGCAATTTGTTGCAAGCAATATTCATTATAATGTGGTAAGTTTTTGCAAGTACTTTGCTTTTTAGATAAGTTTCAGGGGAAGAAAACAATGTTAAGTGAGCTAGTGCAGTAGCTGCTGTACTGGTGCTATTGTATATTAGCCATACAATGGAAGGACAGATGGCTTTCTTGATTTCTTTTTTCTCTCAAAGCAATTTAATGAAGTAGATTGCTTTGTGTTCTCAAAATAAGTGAAAGTTCCAAGCTGATTTCCTCAAGTACAAGGATCTGACATAGCTGGATCTTTTTTCCTAATGAGCAGATCTCAAAATTTAATTCTGAAAAACTTTACAGTTTAGAAGTGCTGAAATATGCCTTTCAGTAAGATGGACATTTTTGCTTAAAATGAACAGCATTTTTCTTCATGCAACACTAAATTTCACTCACAGGTCTCCATGAGATTCTGTAGAGACTCAAACAGGTCTAAAAGAGCTCAGTCTTTTTAACTCTGAGAAACACTTATAGACTGTTTTATAGAGCATAAATATTCTATTAACATGAGTGAACAGAAAAAAAAAAGCTATGTTTTTTAGGATGTAGACCATGCAGGCAAGTATTATTTTGCTGTATCTTTATGTGCATCTTGTTTTTGTCTTTTCATACAGAAAGATGTCATACAAAATATATTCATGTACATGATACTTGGTATTCTAAGAAGCTACTAAACTAAAAAGCACACCTTCTTTTTCTGCAAAGTTTTGAACATTGTGTATATTCATATAAATTGTGCTGAGTATCTTGTCAGTGCCATAAAATATTAAAGAACAATAATAGAAGGGCTACTGGAACCCCCTGTGAGGCCTGAGGCATTTTTTGTGGTGAAGAGAGGACAGCTCAGAATCCTAGAAACTCACCCCAAACACTGTTCTTCATCCTTCCCCCCATCTCCTAAACAAAAGGTCTTCTGATGATGGCAGTACCATTACAACAATAAATCAAGCTGGTGTGTCTTTCCTAACTCAGTCTTTCAATGTCATTTGCCCTTTTGTCTCATGTTTCACTTTTGTTAAGAGTAAAACAGTCCTTCTCCCAGAGCAATTTTTCCCACCCCTTTTGAGTCCCTCCTTTTTGATGTATGATGTCAGCATCATATTAAGGGAGAACCAGGTTGAAATCCGTACCAGAACATAAGCTGTATATCTGACTTCTTGGATTTTCAACACTTACCTAGGCAGCCATGTGTCCCCACGTAGCAGTTTCACTGTGATGCTATCAGTAGTGTAACCCGTGTCTGCTTCTGAGAAGAAAAACTGCTTCATCAGATAAAGCAACAGGAAGCTGCTCTTGGATACACCAATGAGGCAACAGCTCACACGTCTTGATTTTTTTTTTGGCCTCTTTTTTGTTTTTTACACCCTGTTAATCTAAACTTATCCATGGGAAAAAAAGGCAACATAGTTACGTAGAAGTATGCACAAAGGATGGTACTTGGTAAATCTAGGAATACTTTTAGTAAATTCATAAAAGTGTTACTGAAAATATTGCCTAATTACATAAGTGGACTATATTACAAACCTCTTATCTAGGACACAATACATTCTGCAGAGAAACCACTCCACAGAAATAAAATACTCTGGAGTGTATATGTATTTATTTGTGTTTACTTGTGTATGTTCAAAACACTGGTTTTTTTTTTGACTGAAGGACTTGTCACTAGCCTTTCCCAATACATTTATCGCAGAATCAAACAAGAATCCACCTAAGAAGTCTATAAAAATATATCACAAAGACTTCAGGACTTTGTGCAAAAATAATTAATTATTTTGTATTACTGTTTTTTCCCATTTGATTGCTGACGGGAGGAAGTTTGTGAACAGTCCTAGTTAACAAAGGATAACAGAATTTTATGCACTGCAACAGGTTATGTATTTATCTATTTTTATATAAACTGAATCTGAGGTTGGATGTGGCTTTCACAGGAGTGATTCTTTTAACAGATAAGTCCATTCAATTAGATGGGTGGAAAATTGTTAGAACAGTTTCTCTTTTACCTCTGTGATCAGAATAATTTAGTCTATGCTCTGAATTTTGTCTTAAACTCTGTTTGGAACGATTCAATTCTGCTTCTAACAAACTGGGTACAATTTAAATGTACATCTATTGGCTAACACATAAACTGGCATGTTTGATGATTCATATGCTAAGGAGAAATGAAACTGATGAGCAAATTTAAAAGCTCTAAAATAGGACATACTGACTGCCTTGAGAACAATACCAGGCAGCTCTATAGTATTTAACCACTGGATGCAAAGATTTGGTTCCTTCTTTTTTCCAGCCAGGGCATGACTTTTTCATCCACAGTTTTTCTACCGATGCACTTGTTAGATTAAGCCTAAATTATCAAATAATTTTATACTTGAATCATAGCCCCCTTCAGTTTGGTGAAAGGGAGGCTTTCCAGCCACTTGGTGAGATTAATTTCTAAAATAAATTTCAGTCAAACTTTTATTTTCACTGAGAGATAAGTCATTAGACAAAGACCTCTTTTATCACTTTTCACCTGTCTTTTCCTAACATGGTACCTAAGAACAATGTGTGGTGAGCTGGTTCTGCTGTTCTGTTGAGGATTCCTATACTTCACTGAAGAAAAAGCAGTTCTTATCATAATTAGAAATAGAGAAACATAGTTGATACATTTCTACAGTTCTTCACTGTAACAACTGATAGTGTGACTGAAAGATCAAAGGAAGCAAGAAGGGATATGCAAAAGGCAACTATTCACAGTGTCCATATGGAACAATTCAATTTCTTAAGCAAGCAGCACATTTTTTCCATGCTTTTTTTGTTTGAGATTTGGACATACACAATATCTCAAATCAGTCGATCTCAGAAGACCAGGTATTCTTTGGGTTGGCTGAGATTAAAGTACTATCAAGAAAGAACAACTGAAATAGAAAAGTATTAACAGTGGAAAATTATCTACAAAAGAAGCAATGATTAAGTTCTCAGTAATTTTATTGGTTATAGCTGGGCTTACAAAGGGTCCAGATCGCATGTCCTTGGGTCACAGACAAAGGTGTAAAGAAAAAAAACAGGTAAAAAGCAAAGGTGATATTTCTAATGCAGAATAAAACTACTCAGAGTGTCAGCAAAATATGCTCTTTCCACCAACACAATGTTTTTCTATACTAACTGAAAAAGGGAGGCACTCAGCACAGGTTTTGAAAGCTGACACTTTTAGGCTCCTATGAATAAATCAGAGGCTGAAGCCTTCTACCTGGAATAAAGTGATGCATCAATTTAAGAAATTATCAAAATTAGCCAATTATTAATTCATTATGGTTTTGCAAACCTTCCAGGTGTGCAAAGCTGTATAGCCTACTGGAACAAATGTGAATTACGACCATAATTCTACCTCTGTCATTGACTCACTGTAGCCTTGAGGAAGTCACTCTGTCCTTCTGCATGTAATAATGACATTGTATAGCTCATTTGGGTGTGAGCAGGTTCATTAGTTAGTGCTTAATATTGCTGTAAAGTGTAAATTGTTTTGTGAGTGTTTGGTATTGTTATTAAAAAAGAAATAAACAGGAAACGTCAGTCAGGTAATGTCATCACTGAGACATTAAATCCCTCAATGGCATGGACAAGAGAGGCAGTGGCTCGAATAACTGCATTCTTTATGGACGGTAACGTGCAAAACCTGGTCTTTTCCACAGCTCTAACACACTGCCTGCATGACGTCAGCCACTGCATCTCCCAGTGTCTCCTTCCTCCTTTAAGCACATGGAGCATCACCTCTGTCAACAGTGAGGCCACCAGACAGTTTCCCTTTAAAGATTTTTTTATAGGATAATCAAGCTGATCACCAGTCTCCTGATTACTTTTCCTCTGAGACAAATCCTTTAATCAGCTGGAGCCTGCGGGAACACCCTGGTTACCCTCACCGAAACTTTTAGCACCATCTCACCTGGTCCTATTTTTATGCAAGCTGCTCTGCGGTGTGCCCCACGAAGGCTGTAAAACAGAAAGGCTTGTTGAGCCCTGCTAGTGGTACAAGTCAAAACTCACATTCAGGATCCCTCTCTAGGGTTTTGCTGACGCAGTTGCGATCTGAGGCAGACAAGGATTCCCAGGGAAGCCCGGGAAACAGCCAGCACCCTCTCCGCCCCAGAGCCACTCCCTGGATGTTGCTGTGCAACCGATCAAAGGTCTTTCTCACAACGCGGCGCAGTTTTCTCCTTCAAAGTGCCGATTTCTGCCTACTTTACGAGGGATCTGGTGGCAGCCTGAGAGCAGGGCAAGACCAGGAAACTGCAGGATGCTCGCGAAGCCTTGGAAATGAGAGATTCTCCATTCCTCTCGCAGGAAAATTGCCGTGCTTTGCCAGAGGCCCCGGAAAAAAGGTCACTTCTGTGTAGCTCTCACAACCTGGCTGCTCATACTGCGCTAAACGCAGTTTCCCTCTGTGTTGCCAGAGAAACCCTGTCCAGCCGTGATGCCCGCACCCGCTTCGCCTCGGGGCCAGCCAGCTTTCCACACCCAAGATGGCTCCACAATAGCTTCACTCGCTATTCCGTGCCCAATTCCATCCTGGCGGTATGCTTCCCACCGACTAGAACTTGCCTCGCCCTTTCTCAAAATGGCAACGACTAACTTCAAGCCAGGGGCGAGGGATGTCGCTCGCCAGGGCTGAGCCTTCTCCTCCCCTCGCCTTTCCCTTGAGCAAAATGGCGGCGGCGGGTGCTCACGCCCCGCCCCCCAGGTGATTGCCAGGGTTGTGCGGTCACGTGACGCGCGGGGCCGGGTTCGGGCGAGTTGCTGCAGGGACGGGACGGGGCGGCGCGGGCGGCAGAGAGCAGAGCCGGACCCAACGGAACGGAACGGAACGGGTGCTATGGGGTGCGCGGCTCTGCTGTGGGGCTGGCTCCTGCTTGGCTGCAGCTGGGGCCCGGGGCTCCCCGCGGTCGGTGCCGCTGCGCTCTCGACGACCTACGTGCTGGACGATGCCGGCGGGCTGGGCAGGCAGTTCGATGGGATCGGGGCTGTCAGCGGCGGCGGGGTGAGCGGCGCCGGCGGGCGTGGGGGCTCCTCTGGTGCTGTGGTGCTAATAGCATCCTCGGGGCGGCGGTTGCAACGGTCACTTGGGCGGGGGACTCTCTCATTGGGGATGCTCGGTGGCCTCGGTGCAGGCCCTCGAGTCTTCGGGGGGGGGGCTCTGAGGGGAGCCGTGAGGGCTGGGGGAGAGGAGAACTCTGAGTGGAACTGTGAGGGCGAGGAGGGTGGGGGGACGTGAATGGGGCCCTGAGGGGGTGTCCTGGAGGCCCCGGGGGAGCTGTGCGGGCTGTGGTCCTGGCTGCGGGGAGAGCCGGGCCCGTCGTTGTGCCTGTCCCCTGATAAGCTGCGCCGTGGCTCTTTCTCACCAGGTTGCTTGGAGTGCCGGGCACCAGCCACTTACTCAGTGCTGCTGGAGTAGAGCTAAGCCAGGGTGGTTTTTTTTGTTTTTTTTTTTTTGTTTTTTTTCTCCTGTAGAGGGAGAGTCTTTCTAGCTATCTGTTTGTCTCTATGATTTTTAAAATGCTGGATGAGCCAACAACGAGTTGTATGCTTTCCTGTGGTCTAGCCATCAGACTTGTGAGATCCCGTGAGTTCTTACCCATGCTTGGACTTTATGAGCTGCTTTCCTTGACCTCCTGCCTCTGTGCCCTGTGAGCTCCTCTTGCCTTTGGTATACAGTGAACCAAAGCAGGGAGATTCCAGTACAGCAGAAGTGGTGCCGGGAGGGAGCTGCATTTCTCTTGCAATAACTCCATGAGATAGCTTTCTTTTTCTGATCTCTGGACTCTCTTTGCAGTAAATTTCAGGTAACTGGAGTACAAGGCAGTTGCAATCTACAAAACCAGAAATGTGCAGCTGAAGGGTTACAAAAGAGTTTTTGCAGGGGTTTAGCTGAGTTCCCACTGCTATAATTATTTTTGTAGGTTTATTAGCTATGTGAAGGCCCTAGACTGACAAACTGGGATGCACTTACACGTTTGTAAGTAAGGTTTTCATATTTTCATGTTTTCCTTCCATTTTAGGCCACATCTAGACTCCTGGTGAACTACCAAGAACCCTATCGCTCCCAGATTTTAGATTACCTGTTCAAGGTAAAGTTGGTTTCACTGCTAAAATAATGTCTAATTTCATGCAGGATTTCCTATTGTGTAATGTTGGAGCTCCTATAGTATATTCACTACTATTTGAAATTAGACAAAATCATATTTTGTAAAACATCTACTTTTAATGTTGATTTTTATTAGAACCTTAAATTTTAGGTGGTGTTTTTGAAAACCAGCATGTTGTTCAGGACCCTTTTTCTTCCAATTATTATGGAAATTCCTTTTATGTTTTCACAATATGTTTTTAAAAATATGTTTTCAACATATTTTGGTCATCAATGTGTTCTTAACGAGGATTAAATAGTTTTTGTGGCTAAAATGAGGGGTTTAGCTGTTCATAGCAATTGCAGGAAGTGGGTCTTTAAGACAGTTTTGGTGGGTTTTTTTAGAGTACAGATAGATTCATACAATGAGAAAATGACTGTGCATACTGCATCATTTCAATAGCATATCCGTTCCAAACTAGTCTCAAGTATAAGTATAGGTACTCTAGAAAGTGTGAGAACATTATTGGTTTGTAAACTGCTTTAGTTAGCAAATGTAACCTGTGGAGTTAATCAGCTTAATATATGGTAACATTATTGCACTGGACAGTAGTAACTTGTTTTGCTTTTGGCACTGTAAATTACTCTGCTGGAAGAGGATGTAATGTCACTTTCAAGTAGTGTAATCCAGATGGCTGGAGGCAAATAATTTACTGTGTCCTTTAAAGAATTGTCTTTAAAGGACAGAGTAAGGCATAAGGTGTGACTGGGGAATCAAAACCTGTGTTTTTTGGAGACTGAAGCTGTGTGTTACAAGCATGAGTTTTCTGAAGGAATAAATAGGCATGTGATAACAGAAAATCTATCTGAGAGATCATGATTTTCAAAGAATTTTTGACATGTTCTATCAGCAAAACCTCTTAAGCTGTCATGAGATACCCGGGAGGAGTATACTTTGCCTCATTCTCCTTGTCTTTTAATGACAGTGAACTTCCATGATGGGAATGGGAGAGCAAATGTGTCACAAGGTTAAAGTCAGAAATGTCAGGAAGAGAAATGGTAATTTTGGAGTATTTGCTTCTTATTTAAAAACAAATTAAAAAATCCAAAACTTGAAAGCCAAGCAAACTATCATCTATGCAGTGTATTTTTTAAATCAGATTTCATACTCACATCTTAAAACTTTTTTTTTGATACCAAAATTATACTTGGGTAGTTCCATGGAGGAGGCCAGCTCATTAGTAGTTATTAAAATAATGATGAGTTGTAACATCTGGCTTGAGCAACTGTTAAGCCACTAATGGCTGGAAGAACATACTAGGAGTAGGATCACCAGTATGAGTTTGCATTTTATGTTCTGCTCCACCAGTCAGATGCTGGGGGAAGAGGATAGCGGTTTAGGTAGCTATTTGTTTTCCAGTGTGGTGGGTTTTTTTCTCTCTTGCTTTTCTGCTTGTAGTTAGCAGATTTTTTTCTGACCCATATGTATGCTCTTTCACATAAGCAGTGTAACATTTTACACCAAAGAATAAATTATTTGCAGAAATATTAAATTCAATAATTTGATTTTAAAAGAAAACCAACTTGACTTCTAATAACATTAAAAATGCTGTCATGTTTCTCATATAGCCCACGTTCTAATTTAAGAGCACTTCAGAATTTTCTTGGGCATAACCAATTTAAAATCTGCACAGCTGTGGAGAAGTGTTGTTAATTCTGCCAGAGTCAGTGAAACTAACTCAAGATAAGAAAAATCTTTCTCAATTTTCTTTTGGAGCAGAGTTTTGTATTATTTCTTATTGCATTATAATGTGTTTGAAAAAAATAATAGAATTTTTAGCATCCTCAAAATTGTACACTTTATAACATTCTTCTTGTTAACAGCAGGGTTCTGTTTTTCTGTTTTTTTTTTTCTAGCCAAATTTTGGTGCTTCTTTACATATCCTCAAAGTAGAGATCGGAGGTGATGGGCAATCAACAGGTATGGATTTTGCATAAGCAGGGTTTAACTTCTTATTGCAGTGATGCTGTAAGTGATGTGTCCTGCATGTGTCACTTTAGTGGAAGCATGGAGATGCATTCTGTAGTTGTACTGAAGTTGCAGAAAAACATAAACAATGTCTGCTAACTCGCAGAAGAGAAATTTACACTACTGTTCTGGAGACAGTTCTCACTGTCTCATTGTAGTATGGTTTATAGGTTGCATTCTAGAGCAAATGAGTTCATTTTTCCCCCAAGATGAAGGAAGCTCTAGTAGCTTTCTGAATTGCAGAGCATTTCTCAAACGACAGTTTTGCAATATGAACCATAAAACTTGTGTAGGACTAGGTAGTTTGTCTTAAAAGCATGAAAATGCAGAAACAGTTGGTCAGAAGCAATTGTGTTTCTTTAGTTTAACGAGCTGCTGCATTTCACTGGAATGGCATTGTCTGACAGTAGTCACTGTTGTTTTTTTTTCCTGGCCACAGTTGCAAATGAAAATGTCTTGGTGTAATTTGCCTAACCTACTATATTTACATATAGAGGAAACTGTTTAGTAACTGTGATCAGAAGCTGAGAAGCAGTAACTAGACTACAGTTTATATCTTCCCCCCCCCCCCCCCCC